ATAATAAAAAGCTGAATGAAATTTTAATGTGATTGCTCACATTTTCATGATTACACAATTACAGTGTTATCTGCATATGAACTCAGTCATGTTTATGTTTGCAAATGTTATAAAAATGTTCTTTACATAGGATGAGTAATATTAAAAGAAACCTTTCTAACAGATTAATCAATATTCATTATCCATAAAACCAATACTAATAAAAAATATTTAATTGATTTAGGAACTCTTCGTCGGTTTATTGAAAAAGTCATAAAGTGACAATTCATAACCTTAAATAATTAAGAACTTCAAAGAATTTTTCTTTTAAGGAATGAGGAAATTGTGCGGTTGTTGTAACTATATTTAATATATAAAAGGGTTTGTTTTATTTTCATTCACTTGAAGTGTTTTTGTATCGATAAATAAAGTCGAAATTCCCCAAAACATTCTGGAACTTAACCTATATCAAGATGCACTTAATGACTTTTTGTCGTAAACCGACGATATGTTCTTAAACTTATTTACGCCTCTTTGCCTACGCATTATCAATAATTACGTCGACGGTATATTCACAATTCATCGTTCAGTGAAATTTGGAAGTTGTTTTGATTCAATTCATGAAAGAAAAAAAAAAAAACAGTTGCTCATTTCTATTCTGGTCTGGTTTTAAGCAAAGATATACATTTTGACAGTGGACGAGAAAAGCAAATAAGTTCGAAATACTTTGTAATTCTGTTAATAATAACAATCGGGGGATTGGACTCCTGGGGATCTCTGTTTGGAACTATCGTTTTTCCTTCGAGGAAATAACTCGTAAATGCACATTTACACTTTGGGCAGCGCAGCACAGTTTTTTTAATATCTTCAGCAAAAAGTGATAGCGTGAATTGAAACTCCATGAAAAGGCCTTGTGACCTTTCAATACTGACTCATAAACTGCAGCCATTGTTGTCTTTTACTGCCCCGGAGTGTCTTTATATATAACCGGCTGTATGTTTTTCCAGCGATGTTAAATACGTGCTTTCCTTCTCGCGCAGTCATTTAAATTAGACTCCGTCCCTTGTCCTACCTTTAATGCTAAAATGTTTTTCGCAGCTTATAAATTAACTATTTTTTTAGCTTAAATAAGTAGGGAAACACGCCCAAAATACAGTTAACTCATTAGAGAAACTAAACGCTGTTTATATATATGTAATGATAAGGGCCTGAAACACGAGGTAGCGCTGCACAGTTTTTAAGACACGTTTACCGTGGTGCCCAGAAGGGATTTCGCAAGTTCCGCGATTAATGAGGGAATAAAAAATTAATGAGGGAGGCACATTTCGATGGGGTTATGAATTTTCAAAATGAAAAGTTTTAAATCAAAAGACAAGTGGAAGCATGGAACAGACTGCTGGATGTGTAATTGTATATAATCTGCGAATATTTAAATTAATTTTTTCGTTCCCACTGTTTTTAAGAAGAAGAGAGCAATAAAATTTATTGGAAGGGATGGGGTAAGGTCTTTGCGCTTAAATAATTTGGGCAAATTAAGACTCAGTAATCACAGCGCGGGGGAGGGCAGGATGGCCGATCGGGCTAACGCGTGTGCACAGCACTGTGCGGCAACCAATTAACCGAAGTTAAGGATCATAAAATAGTTACGAGTTGGCATCCCAGAGAAGAGGGGAGCTTTTAACTCTGGCATTAGTCCTCCGTCCTCACAAAAAAAAAAAACAAGAGTACAGCGCAGCAAAGTGCTCACGTGATCAACTGGCAATCCTGAAAACAACACGACTTTCCCTTCGCTGCTCTATACATCATTAGTGCCCACGCCTCTATTCTATTCCTTTTGTCCCACTCTTCCATAGCTCAACCTTCAGTTTCTGGTTGGAGTTTACATAAATTGTGCAATTTAACTTTCACTTAACTATATATGCAATATACAGTGAAGGGTAAGTATTGCGATCGTGAAAACTTTCGAATCTGAGTTTCCAACGGAAATAAATGTTCTGAGGTCTCCTGAGCCCAAATAACTAAGTCTCGTGAAATGGTCTGTATGTGCGTGTGTATCAGTCCAGCTCGAAAACGAAAAGTAGTATGAAAGTGAAATTGCATATTTAAGGTTTTTATAAGCTTTCGATGCTACAGCAACATTTTCGTCAAAATTGGAAAACCGGAAGTGGTATTTTATATAATCGATTTAACACACTTTTACGATTTTCTAAAAAACGGCTGTAATGATTTTGATTAAACTCAGTGTGTCAGTGTATTATTAAGCAGTTTTTAATATAATGTAGGTTTTATTATCATTGATGTTCTCTATCAGGGCTTAAATGTATAATTTTCAATATTGGCTTCCTCTAAAGTACTTTTATTTTTTTTATTTGAAATAATCAACCATTTCACATTAATCTTTTATATTAAAAATATTTAAATATAAAATATGAAAGAATTTGATATTTAACTAAAGGAGAGATAAATGATCGTAACGGATAATAGTTCTAATAGAGGAATCAATGGAATACGAGCTGGCCGGAAAGATTACATCAGGCATAACATATATAACATGAGCTTCATATATTACACACTGCGACAATGTTATGTTCATGTGCATATGCGGTTTTCATAAATTCTTTCGTTGGTATTATTTAATTATATAGAATACAGTGATTTAAAAATTAAAATTTGTATATATTAGGGTATTTAAACAAATAAAAATACCCACAATGAATTGTAAATAAAATATAGCGTCAATAACTTTTACTTTCACTTTCCCTTTGTCTGAAAATACTTATTTCTACTAAGAAGATGGTGGTAAGTGAAAGTCGTGTGATGCGCTTACCAGATGCGATAGTTGCTCAATCTCGAAGTTTCATCTTTTTCGTTACCATGCTTGTGAAGAGTCTCTATCGAAAGGCCAGAAATATCATAAGAACTATACTGTAAAGCAACCAAATATCCAAGGAGTTTGAAACGAAGCAGGGAATATGGCAGGTGTGCAGCCTAAGTCCCCTACTTTTCGTACTGGTGCTGGATCAAGCGTTGAGGAGAGCTGAACCCAGACTGCGGCATTTTCAACTGCGATATAGGAGTCTACAGCCTACTTACTAGAGAGTCCTCGCTTTTGGCGATAATCTCGTTGTATTCGCTGCGGATGACCGGGACCTACAATACAACGTAAATATCATGCAAGAAGAGCTGCCCAGCATAAACATGGATATTAATCCACAGAAGACAAAATGCATGAGAATAGGTAGACGTCCCGCCAAGTTATGAGAATATTGAGGTTGAAAGGACAGATCCTGGAAGAGGTGCAGGATTTCAAATATCTAGGTGCATGCATAAACGAAAGTGGCTATATCGATGGAGAGGTGTCGCAAAGGCTAGCAGAAGCTGGAAGAATGTTCTACTCAATCCGGAAAGATTTCCTCAACAAAAGAGAAGTGACGTAGAAAACAAAGATATCCGTCTACAAGTCAACGTTCCTATCCATCCTCCGACAATGGAGATGAGGTACATAAGAAAGGTTGAGGGAAAGGTCAGGAGAGATAGGGTCCGCAACACGACAACAAGATCAAACCTCGAGGTACAGCCGGTAGAAACCACTCAAGAGGAGAATAAACTTAGATGGTTCGGGAACCTCCTAAGGATGAACATTCTCAAAAAGAAAAATGATATGTTGATTAAAAAATCTAGAATTTTTGACTGAATAATTTATGATGAAGAGAATTAAATAAAAAGGCGTTAGTAGTTAGTATCTTAAAAATTAATTTAAAAAAATTAAATTCAAGTTTTTTCTGATATTTAATTCAAAATATTAAAAAAGTAACAATAATATCATATCATTTATTGATAAAAATTATAAAACAACCTCAAACTATCAGACAAAAATAAATACAGCAATATTAATAATAAAATACAATTATTTCACATGGATCCAATATTGAAATTTATTTTTATCCCAAAAACTCTTAGCTAAATAAAAAATATAAAATTTATTTATGATATTTAAAAGTGTATTAAAAATAAAAATACATTCCGTAAATGTGATCACAGAAATTTAATAACATGAAAACACTTATTGAGAAATTATTTACTGATAGTACTCTAAAAATGTATTTACAATAGATCTCCAGGCAATCCTCTTTTTTGAGGTCTCGGAGGATTATCAGGAATCGAAGAGAAAGCAAGGTTAGAAACGAGAGGATTCGGATGATTCTGATATTTATTATGGAAGAATAGGTTTCCGGATTGGGACAGATCGGAAATATAAGAAACATTAAAGTCATTATGCATGATTTTATTAGTAATAAAGTAAGGTGCACAGAGGATTTTGGATTGTAAGGATAGGATACGAGAGGAATTCGATGGCTTCGTGGAGCCCTAAAATTCAACTCCGTAACTCCAAATAGGTCTTATTGTGGTCATGCATAAGAATATTTTGTAATTAATTGGAAGCTTACAGCGTTTCTTGAGTAAGCGCTGGAGTAGTCGATAACGTAGAGCGGTTTCTTGTCATTTCAAATCTTGTATGAGAATTCTAAGTTAGGTGTTTGTCCAAGGTATTGGATTTGTTCAACAGGGATAAGTGGCGTATTATTAAAGGATACTGTAGGGGAGGAAGACGTAGGTTTAGGCCGAAGGGTAAAGGTGATTTGATGGGATTTATTTTAACCCTCCAGTTTTGACATCATTCTTCAAGGTTTGTGATGTGTGATTGAAGAGTTTGGGATGCAATTGTTGGGTCGTTATTAACTGATAGGGCACACGCATCATCGGCATACAATACAAAATTAAAACTTAAATAAGAAGTTACATTTCCTAACTATTCTAAGCATAATACCTACTGTACACTGTATTATGCCTACTATTATAAAAAACGTTTATTATAATAAACAAAATTTGCTTGAAAGCTTAAATCGAAGATAGTTACTTATCGACCTTTACAATATTTGTAATCTAACAAAATTAAATAAATGCTATAAAATGCTGGCTGCTTTTTAATACAATTTGAATAATAGTTTCACCACTGAAAATCAACAAAATGCAGTCATATCGAGCAAGTTGAAATCCGCTTTCATGAGAAGCATAGTATCATCGGAGTAAACCAAGCCTCTGTAATCTCCTGACTTTATGTATTGAGGATGCAGGCGATACAATTTACATCCTTGTAGCCAATCACAAAGCCAACATGACCCATGCGTAAAAACCAAAATGAATCTAAAAGGACAAGGATGAAAAAAGATGACTACATCTTCTAAAGAAAAAGTTCTTATAATAATGTCGTTCTTTGGTTCCCAAACGAATACTGTAGTTCTTTCGCTGAAGATGATTAAATCATAAAGTGAGCTAACTGTTTTAAAGGAAATATAACCTGTACTTCGGGATGCAACCTCTTTGCCAGTTTCCTTTTCCCAAACTTTAATTACTCCAGGTGAGGTCAGCCCTGGACCAGAAATGGCTATTCCAATCAAATAATGGTTTACTAATAACTTTTGAGTTTTACAATCAGGAGTGGTCAGTTCATAAATAAATTTATTTGTCTTTATGTCATAGGCGGTTATGTGACGTACATTTCGGGAAGCGTAAATAATATATAACATATCATCAAATAAGACTAAATCTCTTAATTTACATGAGTTGTTTGGAATGTGAATTGTGTTTTCCCTCTTACCGTCAATTAATGACCAAACATAGATCATTTGGTACTCTCTGACGCCGACGTATATCAACGGTTCCGAAAGGTGATAAATAACAGTAGTTGCCAATAATTCTTTAGATATTCTGTCACTTTCGATTTCTGAACTATACCAGGAAACAAAGTTATCCAATGTATCGCCATATCGTTGCAGGACTTCAATATAAACAAACCCCATTTCGAAAGATTTGGCATCCACAAGACTATAGGAGTCTTTATCTGATATATAGATCTGTAGGAGCATACTCTGGAATAAGACAAGGTGCCTCCCCGCTATGGATAGGCCTAAAACCCTGTATCCTTTGAGAAGGCAAGAAAGGCTCGTCACAAGATAGGGGACACGATAAACGTCAAGAATGGATACGACGCCATTGGCATGTCCGACGGCCAATCTCTTCCCGTCGCAGGCCAGAACAGTGATCTGCGAGTCCTCCGGGCTCAGCCTGTAGTCCATCGATTCTTTCTTCTCCCAGGAGATTGGAATTTGATTCCGCAACTGATAGTTGAGAGCCCATTTATTCAAAGCCCAGAGTGGTTCTGTATTTTCTGAAACACATATCAGTTATCATAAGAAATATAGCTGTTACTATACCTAAATTAACTTTGTATATATTTTCAAATACAAGAAAGCCACGAAAACCCGGATTCAGTTGTAATCAAACAAATGTTTAACTTTTATCTGAAAAAGATAAACAACAGATAAATGTCTTGGTATTTAAATATATCAGACGTCATTATGAAATACATTCATCGAAACAAAGGAATAGAATCAAATTTTGGCAATTGAAATTTGAGGTTTCGCAAAAATATTGCTATTAAAAGCCTTCATCTAAACATATATCTATGTGTATGTCGAATAGGCGGTTGACTTTAATTATCTATCGAAATATTTTTCTGAATTGTAATAAAATGTTTAATATCCTATTGTTTACTTCTCACAACGACACAAATTAGTTAATATTCCTCCTGTAAATTTCATTTTCATTCCTTTTTTTAAATAGAAATTTTGACAAACATAAAGCAACTTTTTCATAAAAAGTGAGATCCGTCAACTTTTTAATTGTAATTTTACATAACAATTGAATATATCAGCATATTCAAATTTGTTCCACAGTACTTTTGCACTAATACTGCACATTCATTACTTCCAAATATTCGAAAGAAACAATTTAATCAGAATAATTTATGTTGTTTATTATCGAGTTTAATTTAATTCCATGATGAATATAAAATAAGATAAGAAAACAGAGAGGATAAATTTCGAAAGCTTGACATTATCTCATTTGTAAACTATATTACGAAAGCTTCATGTTGCACTAGGTCCAATGTCAGATCGACAGTAAGATCGTGAATAGCCTGTTATTGAAATCCAGCACTAGCGGATCCAAGATTTAATTTTGGGGGGGCTTTAGCCCGAAAGATTTTTTTTTCATATATATAACGATAATTAATTTGAAAAAAAAAAGAAGAAGAAATTAATGAACTACCTATATGAAATGGTGTTTAAGTGACTCTTGAAGTCCTATTAAATGTAATTACACGAACAATAATATTATAAGACATATATATGTTTTTCAATAAAACATGGTTGTATTTTACCGTTTGGGGAGGAGGGCTTCAGCCCAAAAGCCCTCCCCCCGTAAATCCGCCTGTGAAATCCAGCAATTGTACTAACCTTCTTCAACTACGATCTTCGGATAATGAGTCCTGTTCTCGTCAACATACAAAGTGTCATTCCAACCCCTCCTGGAACAGAGTTTCCGCCAAAGTACCAAGCAATCCACGAGTCTTCTCCAAATCCTGGAAACGGCGGAGCAAGACAACAAATCGTCAGGAGAGAGTAATCCCAAGATGTTCTGAGCTATTTCTACAGGCAGTTCGCCGAGGATGTCCATCCGAGAACGAAGGTACAAGCTGTTCTAGCTGACAGGTGACAAAACTAATGAACTTGACAGAGTGTCTCTGAGCTATAATTAATTGGTTGGCTTCTGATCAAACTATTGATTCACTCGTGGGCATCGCCGATATGTATAAATAAACATCAACCTTAGACATCACTTTATTTTTTAACATAATCAAATAAGTAAAATTTCCAAAATGAACCAAATATTGATTTTGTCTAAAAATGGAACAGTCTAAAATCTGTTTAAGCCAAAGTATTTTGCATACAAATATGAAATTGATAACAAACAATTTAAAGCAAAAACAATCATTGAATAATACTTGATTCCTGACTCATTATTACTCTCAAAGATATGTATGATGTTATGAGGTCACAAAAGATATTTAACAGATAATTAAGGAATTGTAATACATTTTATTTATAAAATTACAATTCCCTTTTAATGTGTATTGATGTGATACTTGTAAATAAAAACGTTTTCAACAGTTTTTTTCAGTATAACATTATTATTATTAATACCTACTGGAACAATAATCTCATTAAGTTTTTAATAACAGAACATAAATTTTAACATTGGACAGCATTAGTGATGTAGATTAAAAGATATATTAGAAGCAGACCTCTTGTGATGGAAATGCTTTAAAAGGTGGATTTCATGGATTATTACTGCTTGCTTGAAATTAATTAATTTATAATTATATTCCTCATGAACAACAATGAATAGCTGGATTTTCAATTAAAATAAATAGTTATTCTAAATTTACTTTCACAAGTTTTAGTATAAAAAATGTGATGCACATAATTCTCCAGAAGAAAAATGGTTTACGGTATACTCTTCATTATTATTACTTATAAATAAGTATTCACCTAAAAAAATATGGACAAAAGAAAAAAAAATTATTTTTTTCTATTTTTGGGGGCTTCAGGCGGAAGGCCTCCAATCGATCTAACCACACCTCAGATCCATCAGTTATAAGCTATATTACATGTTAAACTTAATGGATATAAAACTTATCCAAATTATAAGAAGTACAAATATTTGAATAAATAATTTGTTTAACAAATGATGATTCAACAATTTAATACAATAAACATTTAGCGTGAAGCTAATTAACTTGCTTAATTATTCCATAACCATAGTAAAAAGAATTAAATGAGCACTGGTATTATAGACAATACATTGAACATCAAAATTTATGAAGAATTATCTATATTTATAATTGAACAAATTGATGACGCAGGTGAAAAAAAAATTAATTCTGTAAATAAGCTGCCATTTTGTAAAATGAATAATTCTCACAAAGCATTACTAGCACCATTTGAAATATCAACCCTTTAAAGAGAAAATGTTCTTTAAAGATACACTTATGAGGTAACACCAGTGATCCAAACGTGTTTCAATCAGTTAAAAAGATCATAAAATACAGAAAAAAGCACTTTTGTCCTCAGAAACTTGAGTAACTGAGAATTATTTTTATTTTTTATCAGAAGTTACTTATAAGAATTCATTTCAAGCGATTAATCCAGAAGAGTATTATTTTAAAAGTATTCAGGGGACATAACTCTTGTGATACTTAAAATATAATAATTTTTATTTTACAATATAAAAATATCAGAATTAGTAGCAATTGCCGAGAATATTGTTCATTATAATAGGATTTTTTTTTCATTTCAATAAAATCAAAGAAACTCAGTTAACAGTTTAATTTAACTTTTAATGAAAATAGTTATTTTTGATATCATGAACTACTAGTTTGATAAGGAGGATAAGGTAATAAAATCATGGATTGGTTAACTACATAAAATAACCTTGAATTGGGTGACATAATAGTTTTTCTGAAATGGTTTAAAGAGTTGACAATGTGACTCACCTGTTTAAATCTGCTTATTTTATCACTGATCACAATTGCGTTTTGTTTTTATCAGAGATATTCTTTGATGTTTATCTTTGTTAGCAGTGTGTTAACTTAGCTTTATAATTTTTTTTTTTCTTCAAATTATATTATATTATCAGTTGGTATGCAATAGTCAAATTATTAGTTTTAAATACTTCAAATATACATAAAAAAACTTAATTGAGAAATAATAATTAGATTATAGTTTTTGTTTATTCTTTATAATGATGCACTTCAAACAATATTTTAAAGATTAAAGATGTTAATATTTGATTGGGTAATTTTTTTTTGAAAAGGTAGAAGTAATAAAAATAAATATGCATGTGGTATTTATTTAATTTTAAATAGCGACAAAAAATAGTGTGACAAGAGTTGGTAAAAGAAGCATCGTGTCTATAAGCTATACGTCAATCTCAAGTTAGATGTGAATAGAAAAAGAACAAGGTATGGTGACTAAAAATCTTTGCGGTGATTGCTATGTAGTTTTCTTCTTTCAACAAACTTGGCATAAAATAATTCAATAATAAATGCAATAAAGGCAAGAGCTTCACCACACAGTAAAATTATAAATGCTCCCTGAAAGAAAAACATAAAAGATTTATATAAACCTTATATAATACTGATTTGAGTTTTCTTATTCGGAAAAAATAGACTAATTATTTAATACCTGAAGGGAAGTAATGGTAAGAGGCCTTGGCTCTTTAGAATTTAAAATAATATCTACACCTCCATAAAGACGAGATATATCATTTACTGCTTTGTCGATGATACCACTCGACTTTAATCTATCAATTACCCTTAAGCAATAAAGGAAAAATTAATCAATAGAATACGAAAATATTTTGTCTTTATTATTTAGTATACTTAGGTTGTGAAGATTATAATGCATGTTAAGGAAGTATTTTTGTTAAGGATATTCAATATACTTTGTCAAGATATGAACAGAAGGTACAATACATCTGAATTGAAACCATACTAAACTCATATAGCATACCATTCATATGATTACAATAAATATTTAAAAATGTAATTGAAGGTTTATATCCAAATGTTTAATATTTGGTGATATATTCTTTAAAAGAACTAATTATTTATTTACAAGGGATAAATAATCAGGAAGCAATTTTTTAGATTTTTTATTGTTGCGATGTTTCAACCCAAACATGTAAGTCATCATCAGGGCATGTTTGGGTTGAAACGTCAGCAACAATAAAAAATTTCAAAATTATTTATTATTCATAACTATAATTATAATTAATATGTGATATATATAACGGTCAACAAACTTTCTTCAATAATTATTTATTTAGTTCATGTTTTCCTACATGTAATATCATTACCATTGTTTTCATTTGTATTTAAATAGTGGTAAAATGCTTTATGAATTAAATGTTTAAGGTATGTATCACATAAGAATATTTTATTAATATGAGTTAAATATTATTCTAGAATTTTTACTTGTTTAAAAATCTATCTATTTGATGGTTGAATTATAACAATAATTTTATAAATAAATACATATTTTATATTGTATATCTTATGTGTTTGATTTCATTTTTAGTTTGTATTTAAAATTTCTAATAGAACATTACCTAGATGCATGAATCACTAAAGGAGATCCCTTAGGTAATGGAAAACCAATATGGTAAACATTTACCAATTCAGGAAGGATATAAGTGTTTTCTAAAAATACACTTTCTGCATTGACTGAAAGCGGAAATTTTTCAACTAATTGACATAACACTGCATACTTATTGCTTCGAAAAACTGATTTTAAATTGACTGGATAACGAAATCGAGTATTAAATGTCTTCTGCCATTTATTCTAAAAAAAAATATTAAAATTTATTAAATAAATTTCCATTAAGATTAAACTTCATAAGTATTTGTTAGCATACTGTTAGTCTGAGTAAATTATTAAGATCTCGAACGGGAAAGGCTGTGGTCCAAGAATATTTCATTTTGTACAAATCCTCAACTGTTTTGGGCTGGAAAAGTCGAGGAGGACTTGTCAAATGTGAAACAACAGCTGATGAATAAATAGAACACACAATCAAAGCAGCAACAGATACGAATAATACTGCCACTCTGAACATGGCTGGCCCACTCGAAGGTAATGTTGAACATCCCAAAAATCGCCCAATAACAAGAAAGATCCAATCATGAAATTTCCTACCTATAAGAAATAAAATAGATATAGTTGGTAATAGAGCAAAAAACAATTTAAAATAAAACATTATTAATACATTTTATATACATTTAGAAAGATTTATTTTAAAACATAAATATAAAATAAAATTTTTCATAAACATAAAATGAAAACATTATTAATAATAACAATAATATCATTCGGTGCTACTGTCCTTGAAGGACATGGGCCTCATCACAGATTGCACGCTAGGCTGGTCTATAGGCAGCAACCGCTCTCCATCCTCTAACACCAAGGTGGCGCAGGTCTTCCTCAACACCATCCAGCCATCTTATTCTGGGACGTCCACCACCCGGCTTTTTTAAAAGTAGCTCCCTTGGAAGACGATCCTCTTTCTTATGCTCCACATGCCCAAGCCACCTCAGCCTTCCCTTTTTTATTATACTTACTATGTCTGGCTGATCATACTTGTTTCTTGAATCTTTGTTTTTCTAATTTTCTTTACTCTTCTTCAGTGTAGACTGATCCATATATTTTTCTTTTCCAGCTGAATAGTCGCTTCTCCATCTCCTTTATCAGTACCCGTGTCTCGTCTCATTGCCATAGGTGACTGTTGGACGAATAATTGTCTTGTAAACGATGACCTTGGAGCTCAAAGAAAGATCTTTGAACTTCAAAACATTATGTACTGCAAAAAAGCAACGATTTCCTGATGCTATTCTGGCCGATATCTCCTTGTGTAGTTCATTATTTTCAGTGACTAGTGTTCCAAGATATTTATTATATATGGATGGGGATTAAAAGAGCTGTAGTCCAATTTATCAACATCTTTTCAACTACACATTGAAAATTATTTTGTATAGTTCGTCGAGAACTGTCCTTCCACCATACTTCAGCAGATCCACTGGTATACAGTTGACTCCTGGAGCTTTCTAATTCTTAATGCTGTGGAGTACTTCCCAAACCTCCTCTTTCTAAGGTGGTGTTTCCACATCGTTTTCATCTTCATTTTCTAGGGTCCAATCCTGGTCGAGGTTCTGCTGAATTATGTCCTCGTTAGGTTCCTCTTCATTGTCCCTCTCCCTGGAAGTATCTTGTCCACCTATTGATAACATTCCCTCCACCAGCCAGAAGATTGCCTTTCTTGTCCTTAATGAAAACATCTCGTCTTTTTCTTCAGATAGTCAATCCTGGCTTCATTTCTTTTTGCATTAATCTGATGCAGCCCTCATCAAACCACTCTGCTCTTCCTCATTTTACTGATGACCAAGAACCTCCTTAGCTGATGATCTTATAATTGTTTCCAGGTCTGTCCATCTGGTGCTGGCGTCTGTTCCTCCAAGAAATTCAGAGAGTTTCTTGTCGATGATATCACCGTATGCCCGTCTTAACTTCTCCATTCTTGAGTTTGTAGACATTTTATGGGGTAATGTTTTCTCCGGTTTCTCTCTTGGGGTGCACAATTTTCTGATTATACTTGATGATGTTGAGGAAATGGTCTGCATTGCAATCGGCTCCACTATACACTCAGACATCTCGAATATGTGTTACATGTCTTGAGTCCACTAGAATGTGGTCGATCTGATTTCTTGTCTGTCTGTCTGGAGAGACCCATGTTTCCTTATGTATGTTCTTGTGTGGGAAATGTGTGATGCTTATTGATAGTCTTTTTCCAATTGCGAAATTAACAAGTCTTCGATCGTTCTCATTGGATTCTTGGTGCCTACTGTGTCTACCTACTGTTCCTGGAATCCCACCTTCACATTTAAATCTCCTAAGACTAGTTTGGCATGGTATCTTAAATTCTTTCCAACGTACCATAAAAATTATCTTTGACTTCTTCTTCACTGTCTTCAGTTGGAGCACATACCGAAATCAGGGATATGTTGCAAAACCGTCCTTTAATCCTTAGATAATACATTCTGTTACTAATGGTTTCATATCTCAGGATACTTCCTTTCCATTTCTTTTTAATCATGAACCCAGTCCTCAATCTATTGGTCCTGTCTCCACTGTTAATCAGGATATAATCCTTAAGCATAATGAAGTCTGATTCTCTCCATAGTATTTCTTGCAAAGCCAAAATGTCAACTTCATACTTGTTTAGTGCCATCTCAAGATTTCCGCTCGCTCCTGTGGTGAACAAACTTCTAACGTTCCACAATCCAATCTTGAATCCTTATCCTCCCTAATGTCCATTGGCAAGTTTATCAGTCCGGGCTTTTCATCTGTGATGTAATCGTGAAATTTAAGGAGAATGGGTTACTAGCTCACAGCCTCAGTCAGGTGAAGGGGCTGCCTCCTCGGTGCCTCCTGACTTGCACCCCCATCTGGAGTAGCTACCTAGAGAAGGTGATCCTAGGGTATGTACTGTGAGTGACCTTGGTCTATAGTGTTAGGGTGAGTGTAGTGTGCTGTTGCATGTGTGTGTCAATGTACTGTTCCTCTAACCTGCGGCAGAATGCCAGGGCGATGGGACCGCCATCTCCCTACACCATGGAAACATTATTAAAAAACTAAAAAAAATGTTTTTAATCTTTTAGTAATTTTTAAATTGTAAATTTGTATTATAAATCTGGAAAAATAGATTGGAAGCTGCTCTAATTTAGTTTTATTTCAAATTAATACCTTTTGTATATTCCATTAAACAATTTTTTTTAAACATTTTATGATGTTAAGAATGCAGCCCCAATTAATTCTTCTATTTGATGACATATTACAGTAAAACAATGACTTTTTAAAATGTTTACCTTTCCCTATTAATTTTGATAAAACATGCAAGGCAAGAATCGAAACAAGCATAGTACATGCAATACAGATCCAAAGTTGATAGCTGAAAGGAGTATAAATACTTTTCCATCTTTTTCCATAAAATCTTCTTGGTAAGACATAAACTATGATCATCTAATGTAGAAAACAAGTAATTTTATAGAATTCAATTAAAAAAGAAAATAAATACATTAAAATTTTTATTTAAATCTGCTTATAAAACCTGTGAATAATCCAATGTTGCATCTACAAATTTTAGTTGTTTCTGCTTAATCCAAAATCCACAAAGGCCTATGTCATATTGATGTTGCATTATTGAGCCTATTATTCCACCTTCCTATGAAACAAGGAATGATAGTTATAAATCGAAAAGTTAAACTATACATTTTCTTTGGAGCATTATATGATGTAAATATTTTAGAATATTTCTGTAATGATAAAAAACAAATAAACTATTTTTTCAATATTAAAGCCATTATTTGATTTCTAATACCATTATTTGTATAATTACATTTGAGAGACAAATGAATGACTGATTGTACAGCAATGGGGAATCTGTAATATGGATTGATAATAATAACACAATCAGAACTTAGAAGGAGCAAGACCAATCTCGCCTGTGGCATCTTTCACCTCTTGCCATTCTTGATTAAAATTTGTTTTCATTCATCAAAGATTTCCTTCTTTGGTTGGGCCACACATTTTACAGAGGTTTTCTAAACTAATCTAAGGCAATCAAATGAAAAACAATTTGTTAAATTAAATTGTTACCCAGGTGTCATTTTTATATTTCCCCCATGGGTTGCCTTTAAACACAGTAAGATTCCATGTGATGTTCATTGCTTTACCAAGTTCATTTATGAGAAAGATCTCGAGGCCAACCACTGAAAAAATGATCATTACTTAATGAAGAGTTATGAGTTTCAAATAAAATTACAGTTACAGTTATATATTAAAGATACTTTTTATATTTTGTATTGAACAAATAAATTCCAAATATCGATGACTTACCTCTAAAACCTTGTAAGTTGATAGGAAGTGAATCAAACTAATAACGTTTTAGAAGTAAGCAATTGATGTGTTATACTTGCCTTGTGTCTTTTACCGTATTGTTGGTACAGAAACACAGGAAAACTTTTCACACCTTCCTGGCTGCTTGGCACCTGCCATATTCTCTATGTTTCTGTACTAACGATTGAGTAATTGTCACTAGGAACCCGAAATATAAAATTATAAATTCATGAAATAGGCTTTACTTTGAATATTGGATTTGTACACCATATATTTTTGTGCAAACTGTAGTTAGCCTTTCTTAATTAACTTCTGCTTGGCTATAAGCAAATACAAATAAAGCTTAAATAAGATACAATGACTTTCTAAGCTTCTTAATAAATTAAAATCATATAATAGAAGAGGTTAATACTTAGCAATCTATTACCTTTATTTTCTTTTATTAATACTAGTGGTGAGCAATTGACATATGCAGCTTTTAAAGTAACTCCTCCAAAGTTAGGAAGTTTGTCTGAAATAATATTTTTTAAAAACTTTTAGGGTGTTATAAATAAAAAAGGGCACTTTATAAGAATGTAAAATATCCATTATCATGATATTACAAAAACACAGTTTCATATTACTTATAAATATCCTTTCATATTGTATTGTTTATTTTTTATTCTAAAAAAAACATAAATAAAGTAACAATATAATTTTTGTTACAATACTGTTTATTTTTTAATTAGTATGTATTTTACATTAATAGAATATTTTTATTTATGAATTCTGATAATTTCTAAGATTTTATAAATTTATAAGCCCTGGTTTTAAATGATCATGTAATCATTCATTTTTCACTGTACCATAAAATAATAGAATAGACAACACTTAATTAGGACTATGTTGATCCAGAACACTTGTCCAACACTTGTCTTTTCATTAAATACAGGAAGAAATTGCCAAAATTAACAAAATCAATTCACCTGAAATAATAACCTTCTTATGAAAACAAGAAAAAATATAAGTAATCTTCAGAAGAAAGCGAAAAAAAAAAAGAACAACAATATTGAAGCAATAATTAAACTTTGCCTTGCACCATCTCTTGTTTGATGTGATTAGAATTTTCTATTTTTACTTTATTAAGATTGTAATTAATTTATAATTGTAATTTGATTAAATTCTTTTGTTTTGCTTTAATATACTTATGCACTTTTTTTAGTGTGTGTTACATTTTTATTTTATTTTTTCATAGTTTCTTCTTTAGTTTTTTAATGCTTATTTCTTTTTATAATTTTTCATAAACTAATGTTTATATTACTAACAAAAAAAATCATTATAATGCAGGCAATATTCCTTGTGGTATGATATTTGTTGACATTTAGAAATCACGATCCCTTCATAGAATTAGTACAGAAAGAAAGAAAAAAGGAAAAGAAGCACTATTTTTTAAAATTTGTGGATAAGTATTTCTGAATTAAAGATGAAGACAGGGAAAATATCATCTGTTGCACTACAATTTTTCTTTTTAAATTTTTCAAAATATTTTATTGTTTTTCTGCCTATAATTATTGTACTGAAAATTCAGGAGGTAATCATAATTACAAAAAGTATGTTAAACATTATAATACAAACATAAATGAAATCTTTTTGAAAATTCATAAAAAGGTTGTTAAAAAGAAAAACATAAAAACACAGTTGACATAGCTGAAGTGATGGGATAATTAACAAGGGTGAATAATATTTTTAGGTTCACAATTCTTGAACGTTTTAATGTAACATTATCTTCCCTTAAGAATGATGATATAGTAAGCCTTGGTTTCCTTCATAGGCATAAAGAGCCTCATAAAGATTTTATTTGTGGTACCAAAATTTATATTTTTACAGAATGTGAAGAAATATATATTTTAAAAATTATTTTTGTCATACTGATTTGTTCTATAAATATTGATAAAACATTTAAAATAGAATCGATAACAAATTTAAAATAATAATAGTTCAACTAAATTTTAAAGGTTGTTCATAAGCATTAGTAACATATACAAAACAAATGTATTAAAATAACTAATTATATACCATAACTAAAAAACTGTGAAGCATTCCGAAAGGGAAGAAACTTCCTCCCATTGGTGAATTGAGGCCCCATTCTCATAAGGGCTGTTTGATTTAAGAAAATAATGTCACTGTATCCATTGAAAAGGTTTTCAAAATTAGAATTTAAAACATCAAATGAAGAAGCATTTGATAACAGAAGCAATCTTCTTCCCAATACTCCAAGCATCGGTTGATAGCCAACTTCTTCTCGGCAATCTCCACAGATACCTTTTTATGCAAAATAATAATAATTTATACACACAAAATTTTTTTTAATAAATTACATTTCTAGATTTTTGTCTTTAGTTAGCAATGACTAGTGGCTGGATCATCACTAAGATATATAGCAAAAATACTTAAATTTTGCAAGAAAATAGTCTGACTTTGCCATTAATTATGCCATTTAAATAAATGATGAAATTAAAATGAATTATAAAAATAATGGTCATAAAAAATACAAATAGTATATTAATAAGTTGTTAAGATAACAAAATTTATAATGTATATTTAACAAGGATTATTACTGATTACATTTAAAAAATAATTCTTTTTTACTTTTCAAACAAATCTTTTTTATTATAAGGAGAAAATAAAAATATGAAAACAAGAAAGTAAAAAGCTTGTATTTTGTAAAAACCAATATGAACAACTGACTATGGATTTTTAATTAGTAAAGTATAAAGTATGATTTAGAAAAAATTATTCAAAGTAAAATAAAAAGTAGTTTTCATGAACTAAACTGAAAAAAACAAACATATGTAAAGTTTCATATAAAGATAAGATTCATAATAGACTAGATTCATAATAGGGCGCTAAAAAAAAAACCATAAGGGTGAGTCGAATGGAAAGACAAATGAAGGTAGCGTCTGCTGGGTAATAGAAATAATCTCTCATTCGTTTTCAATACAGACCTCTTTCTTAAACCTGATCCTCTCTAAAAAATCTAAGGAAAAAAATCTACTGAAGTTTCAAAGTGTTACTGTACAGAATGAATTTCTCTTCACTACTTTTTCCATATAGAATCACTCATCAATTTCTTTCACATTTTCCTCATTTCTATTTAGTTTTCTCATCTATATGGATATTCCATTAGGCTACTTAATTTGTTTGTATTTTGTATTCAAATGTAAGTATATAGTTATTATATATTTCTCTAACAAGTTTGTTCAGAGCCCCTTCATGGTGTAGAAGGGAAGAGGGTTGTCGGAATGATATTACCGATACTACTGCGGCACAGTAAACATCGTAAAATTTTATAATTAAAATATTATAAATTTTTAAACATTGAAATTCCAAAAATACCACAAAGCATATCTCATAAAACAACATCCATCATGAAATATTTACACTCACATACCTCACATTGGAGGTGGGCAGCTCGAGTAGCAGTCCCTGGTTAAGGAATGTAGGGCTCTGAGTTTAATTTTACCACGTATTATTTTTATTAAACATTAAAAGAAAATTATACTATTTTAGTAAACCTTACCTGAAATCACTAATAAGTTCATTGACATAGCTAATTTCACTATGTTAACATTGCTTTCTATATTTTGTGGAAAACAGACACAATAATGGAATGTATTTAATGCTTCTGTGAATAAATTAATGGTAATATTGTTAAAGAATAAGAAATTAATATTTAAAAAATCATAAGCTGTGATTGCCTCCATAGTACCAGGCTGTATCATTTAAAAAATAAATAGATTATGAGAACTTGCAAACTTGCAAAAATATATTAATAACATGAAAAAATACCACAGTTTTACTGTTGTAATATTTATGCTTAAACTTCCATCTAGTAACTGCAGAAATAAATTAGCAAATATGGGAACAAGCCTTATATAAACTACAACTACTTTGTTTTTGCACAATTTGAAGGGTTTTTCTTTTTTTGTTGTCAAATTGAGGAGATCAAACTTATCAAGTAACTGATAAAATCAGAGAAAAACTGATTCGGTTAATACTGTGATAGCATGACATTGCACCCTTTGATAAATGATTTTCAGTTAAGATTTAGAGATGGTGAACACAGCTGCTATCAGCCAGTTTTTCTTTCATAAAATAGGCTTCCTAATGATACCTACCAACAAAAATCAATAAGTGAAAATAAATTATATCAACCAATTGATTACCTATATTTTATACCTATAATGTGTTTTCATTTTATTGTTATGAATTAAAACATATTTCAGGAAAATTTAACTATGAATATATTTCTATTTATAGTATTTTTTATATTAAAAACTCTGAAAACTATAATTATATTTACAGAAATGTTTCAATAATAAACTTATTATAACAATTTTAGTGGTGACCACAGAATATTATCAATAAAAAATCAATGAAATAACCTACATCATAAATACACACTTGGCCCTCCAATTCTATGTAATTATTAAATTATGATTATATTTGATGGTCAAAATGATTTCCATTCCGATTTCGACAGAATAAACAAAGATAGTATCTTAATAACATATTTAATCCTTATAATAAACATAAAGAGAGAGGCAAAATTCAAGATGTTCACTTGAAGAACATAGATTGAAGTATTTACAAATAAAATAATTATTTAATTAAGGTATATTAAATTAAATAATAAGAGATTATTTATAGTAAGATATAATAGAAGTTTTAATTGCAGTAAAAATAAACAAAAGAAAATAAGAGATAAAGAATAATTTAAGGATATTCTATGAAAAAAATGAATCAATCTTGTAATAAAAATGGTAATAAATACAAAACATTAATAAATGGCAATAAATAAACAAATTAATTGGTTTTTCTCATTTCAATCAATAATGAATCATTAATATTTAAAATTAAAATAGATAGAGGCAATAAATAGAGGCAAAGGGGAAGTGAAAGTAAACATTATAGACACTATATTTATTTACATTTCATTATGGGTATTTGTATTTGTTTAATTATCCTTATGTATTCAAATTTTAATTTTTATATCGCAGTAAGCTAAACAATTAAATATTAAATAAAACCAATGATGGCATTAATGAAAACCTTATAATCCTTATAATATTAAGCTCATGTTACTATGGAAGCGTGTTATAATCTTACAGGCCACAACCCCTACGCTCATATTCCTTTGGTTCCTCCATTTCAACCTTTATCTATTACGATCTTTTATTTCTCCTGTAGTTAATTATCAAATTCTTTCATATTTTATCTTTAACTTTTTTTATATTAAAGATTAATGTGAAATGGTTAATTATTTCAAATAAAAAAAATTAAAGGTACTTTAGAGGAAATGGTTAATATTGAAAATTAGCCATTTAAGCCCTGTTAGAGAACATCAATGAGAATAAAACCTACATTATTTTAAAAACTGCTTAATAATCCATTGATATATTGAGTTTTATCAAAATCGTTAGAGCCGTTTTTGATAAAATCGTAAAAAATGTGTTACTTCGATTATATGAAATGCCACTTCCGGTAAGTCAATTTTGACGAAAAAGTTGCTGTAACATCCAAGGTAAAAACAAACCTTAAATATGAATTTTCACTTTCATTCGACTTTTCGTTTTTGAGCTAGACTGATCAAAAACACACACACACACACACACACACCACGGGCGGATCTACCGGGGGAGGAGGAGGGGCTTTCAGGCTGAAGCCCCTCTCCGCAAAATGGTAAAATGTAACCATGTTTTATGGAAAAATATATTAAAAAATTATCTCTTAAAGTATTATTGTTCGTGTAATTACATTTAAAAGGACTTAAGGAATCACTTAAACACCATTTCATATAGACAGTTAGTTTCTTTCTTTTTTTTCCAAATTAATTATCGTCATTTTTATGAAAAAACAGCTTTCCGGCTGAAGCTCCCCCCCCCCAAAAAAAAATGAAATCCTGGATCCGCTAGTGACACACACACAGACCATTTGGCAGGACTTTAGACTCAGGACACTTCAAAACATGTATTTCCGTTGAAAACTCAGATTAAAAAATTTTCACGATCGCAATATTTACTCTTACTATATATTGCATATCTAGGCAAGTCAAAGTAAAAAGGCTATGGGAACCATCGGATGTTGATACCTAGAACCAGAGGTGCTCATCCTCAAATAAGTTGAAGGCGCATAATTCCCTCTCCTCCCCACTCTATTAAAAAACAATGAATGTACATCCGTGGTTATAGTGCTTCTGCTCAGCTACCAATGGTCCTTAATACCAGTAATGTAGCTGAGTTAAAGGCACTGAGATTTCCTGGAGTCCTGCCTTTCCTTCCACGAGTTGAGGAAAAGGCTAGGCTCAGAGTTCTCCTGAATGGAAGAATTTTGTAAATATTGTGTAAAAATATGCTTTAACAACATAAATATTGTTATTTAGCTTAGTTTAGTTTGTATACATTCAATTTTAGTAGTATTATTTAACTGTTTAATTTATTTTTATTTATTGAACATAGAGTGTGAATGTGCTCTCTGAACTCTATTCTAAATGTGCTTAATTGAGATAGATTGTAATATTTCTCAATATATAGTGAAAAAAAAAAAGAAGAAAACTACAGTGGAAGGGAAAGCAGAATTAGAAAAAGACGTAGATCATACATACGCAATTACACATGCTGTGGTCTGTTCCATGTTTTTCTCTTGTTACTAGCTTTGAAACTTTTCACTCCGAAAATTTATAATCCCATCGAAATGTGCCCCCTCAAAAATTCAAACTGTGAAAAAAATGTACCTCATGAAACCCATTTCTGGATACCCCTGCTTAGAACTTCCTCAACAATTAGACCATAACAATTGCATTTCTGTAGGAATTATTTTGCTATTTAGACCATCGTCGTTACTTAGCTTGCTCACATCAATAGAGACAATCATATCACATTAAAAATATTCACAGGATGGTCACGCCATACCGCGTTGTATAGACCTCTGAAAATTGTCCTGTTGATTCCTCTTTCTTAGAGCCATATACAAATGATAAATGACCTATTAGTATATTAATATTGAAATATAGATAGTCAATATTTTCATCGATATTATAAACTTTTTTGAAATATCAATATAAATATTGATTCTTTAGCATTAAAAAAGATGTCATTTCCTCTTTAAATTAATTAATGGAAATATCAATTCACCTACCCTCTCTCGTAAAATTAATTTCTTGGTTTCTGTACATTTTCATCATTCTCAGTCTTTTTTTTTTCAATTATTCCCATAGAAATTTCCATTCAAACAATTATGGCTTCCATTCATCCATAGATCGGATTCAGCGATGTTAATTTATTTGCTTCCCACATAGATATCGTTCACAATTCTGGTTCTTAATTTGAATAGGTTCTAACTAACAAATTTGGATAAACAGCCCTGGGTGTCTTCTTTTCCTTGGGCCTGAACAACACAGATGTTTAGA